GGGCACCTCTGCCCGCCTCTGTATCTGTTTCAAAGAATTTGGGATAAAATTTATCAATGTGCCAATGGCTGAGGAGCAGAACATTTGGCCTGTCTAATCCGTGCTGCTCCAAATGTGTCTCCTCCCATCCATTATTCCAGCAACTTTCAGCACTGCAGCCCCGCGTTTGGCTCAAAAATTGTGCTGATGGATTCAGCTTGGCTTGCCTCCAAAAGCAATTTTCTAACAGAATATTATAGGGGTGAACACAGTATCTGGAGATCAATCTCAGTAAACAAAGCCTTAGCATAAAAAGTGGCATCTCGTAAGGCACCACAGCGATCAACTTAATGTTTGTTGTCACCTGGCATGCCTCAGGGGCCCCAGGTTGGCATGGCAGTCTCGGGTCACCTCCTCCCCTTGTAGAGGCACTAAGACAGTGGTTTGTTCTTACTGAGCATAAAAGATATAAAAAAAATGCTCAGCAGTCAACTCGCGGTGAAGATTAAACATACTCCACATCTGAGTGTTGATGGCTGCAGCTTGCAACATATTTGTATGCAACCCCAATGATTTAAATGGTAGTGCTTTTCTGTTATATTCATTGCTTTCCACCTAAAAGCATGGGAAATGCAGACACCAATACTTTACACCACTAATCACTGCACAGTTTACTTGCTGGTTTTGGATCGAGACTCCACAGGCTCACTATATGAATCGATAGCACAGAAACACTGCATTCACTTCCCAAAAACACAAAGAACTGCGGATGCCGGAAACCAGAAGCAATAATTGAAATTGCTGGAAAAACTCAGCAGGTCTGTCAGCATCTGTGGAGAGAGAAAGCAGAGTTAACATTTCAGGTCCAGTGACCCTTGAAGTTCTGGAGAAGGGTCACTGAACCTGAAACATTAACTCCACTTTCTCTCCACAGATGCTGCCAGACCTGCTGTGTTTTTCCAGCAATTTCTCTTTTTGACACTGCATTCACTTGCATGGCTGAGCAACCCATCCATATTCCTTCAATAGCACCCTCCAAACTTGTGACCATCCCCCCCACCGCCAACTGAGAAGGACAAGGGCATCTTGTACATGGTCACACCACTGTCTGCAGTTCCCCTCCAATCCAATCAGCATCCTGACTTGGATATATATTGCTGTGCAGTGTCATAGGGCCAGAATCCTGGAATTCCCATCCTAACAACACTGGGACTATTCTTACATCTGCAGCAGTTCAAGAAAGTGGCTCCGTACCACCTTCTACGGGGCAGTTAGGGATGGGAATAAATGATGGCCTACCAACAATGCCCACATCCTGTCACCAAATAAAACAAAACTTAGGCCAACTGGTCTCTGGCGTTGTATGTATCAATTGGCCCTATCATTCTGATTACCACCTCTCGCCCTGCCTCTGTATCCTTCCCTTCCCTGCCCTGCACACATTAAACCTCCCCACATTGGAGTCAATATAATCTGCTTCAACCACTCTGTATGACATTTTCTCATCACACTCATTGACATTGAGTTCTTCCTGAAATCTCACTTTAATCAATGAGTAACTAACCCCCACCTAGCACCTCATGTTCTGGACCTTGTTAGAAAGAGTAGTTCTGCAAACACCCCATCAAAACACTTCATAGTTCTGAAAGACTTCAGTCAGGTCTCCTTTCAGGCTTTTTTCTTCAGTTTATTTTGTGTGAATTTTGAAAATCTGCCCATGCAATAAAATGGGCTCAAGCAGCTCAATTGCCTACTCTGCTTTTATTTCTTACATTCCAGAGAAAAGAGCTTAACCTCTCCTTCATGATTTTGCTCTCTCTGAATTGTTGCAATTCCCTTGTAATTCCTTACTGCACATTGGCTCATCTGGGGGTGGAGGGTGGACCTTGTAGTATGGAAATCAGGGCCAGAATTGGGGTAGTGTTGAGGATTTTGGCTGGCAGCTAGAGAGCCAGTGAGAGACTTGTGGTGCTACTGTTTGGAAAGACTCCAGAACAACACATCAATCAGGCAATGGTGAGGCCTTTTCCCGGAGTCCAGAACCCTCTGACAGAGGCCAGAAGCTCTTGCACTCATGTGGAGACATGGCTGCTGCTGGAAGATACTCCTCAGTGCCCCAGGACGAGACATTGACTCAGGCCACAGGTAAGTTAAATTGAGGTGGGGGAGTGGGGCGTTTGATAGGATGGAGTTCATGGGGCCTAGGAATGGGAGGGGGGCTGGGTTTGAAGTAAGGGAACAGGCATGGCTCTCAGTGGACACCATACCCTTTCCCATTGGTGAATCCCTCAATCTGGCACTCATCTGCAGTGGTGTAGTGGTAATACTGCTGGATGTGTAATCCAGGACCTGTTCTGGGGACTTGTGGTTGAATCACACAGTGACAGATAATACAACTTGAATTCAATAAAATTTGTAATAAAAAGGTGGTCTTGTAAAGACCATGTTGACAACCATTCAGAGACAACCATTGTTGGTTGTTGCAAGAAACAACCCATCTGGTCCACTGATGGCTTTTAAGGAAAGAGGTTGCCATCTTGACCTGGCCTGACTTACATGTGACTCCAGACCCACAGCAAGGTGGTTGACTCTCAACTGCCCTCTGGAAAAATAGGGATGGGCAATAAATGCTAGCCTAGCCACCAGCGTATGAACAAATAGAAAAAGGGCCTACCCCTTCCCAGAGGAGACAAGCTGCCCACCATTTCTGATCTGTCATAAATGTGGTCTTGAAAACCCTGATGGTCTCATGATAATGAAACATTTTGGATGTTTTGTTTTAAAAGTCAGAAGTCACACGACGCCAGGTTATAGTCCAACAGGTTTATTTGAAACCACAAGCTTTTGGAGCGCTGCCCCTTCATCTACCCCTGTTCAACGCCAACACCTCTGCATCATTGTTTTAAAAGGGTGACGCAATGGTATCCTTGATAACAAGGTGTAGAGCTGGATGAACACAACAGGCCAAGCAGGATCAGAGGAGCAGGAAAGCTGACGTTTCGGGTCTGGACACTTTTTCGGAGCCCGAAACGTCAGCCTTCCCGCTCCTCTGATGCTGCTCAGCCTACTGTGTTCGTCCAGCTCTACACCTTGTTATCTCGGATTCTCCAGCATCGGGCAGTTCCTACTATCTCTAAGCCCCAATGTGGTCTGGCTGCACACACTCACGTACACACTCACACAGAGGGAGAGGCAATTGTCAGGGAAGCTTGAAACTTGCAAAGGTGCAAATCCCCCAGATTTCTGTTCAAGAGCAAGGACACCACTGCAGAGGTAGTAGGAACTGCCCGATGCTGGAGAATCCGAGATAACAAGGTGTAGAGCTGGACGAACACAGCAGGCCGAGCAGCATCAGAGGAGCGGGAAGGCTGACGTTTCGGGCTCCGAAGAAGTGTCCAGACCCGAAACGTCAGCCTCTCTGCTCCTATGATGCTGCTTGGCCTGCTGTGTTCATCCAGCCCTGCACCTTGTCCCACATTGGGGCTTAGCCTCTCAGGCCCCCAGAGCACATGCTGCCGGCTGCGCACATGCGCAGAAACTCCGCTGCCGGCCGTTGTCAATAAAGTTGTAAAGTTTTGTTGAAGGAAGATGGCGGCGCCCAGGGACTGAGGTGAGCTGTTGCTCCAGGATCCCTAAAAAAAAATACAAAAATGCTGACCTGAGGAGGACGAAATAAATTACACAAGCTTTTCAGACGCACCGACGAGGCGGAGTTTGTTGTTTTGTTTTGCGTTTTGACTTTATTTCTTCGCAATGTAAATTATTTCCGGCCCCTTCCTCTGGTCGGAGGCACTGGGCTGATTTAATCTTAAAATCATTCAAACGTTGTCTCCTCCCTTTTTCTGTATATTTCAGCCCGTCCGTGTTTGTTTATTTATAAGGGTCTAGGCCCGAAACGTCAGCCTCTCTGCTCCTATGATGCTGCTTGACCTGCTGTGTTCATCCAGCTCTACACCTTGTTATCTCAGATTCTCCAGCATCTGCAGTTCCTACTGTCTCTGTTTATTTATAGTCCTCGGTTTTGGTCTTTCCCGCAGTTGTGACCGATTTCTTTCTGTCGGTCTCACAGATTCCTACAATTTGAAACAGACGCACAAAATGCCGGAGAGACTCAGCAGGTCTGACAGTATCTGTGGAGAGAGAAGGAGTTAACGTTTTGAGTCCACTATGATTTCTTCAGAAGCCTCTATTTTTCTGTCTCCACAGATGTTGTGAGATCTGCTCAGTTTCTCCAGCATTCTCTGTTTCAGAATTCCAGCATCTGCAGTATTTTTCCTATAATCTTAAAGACATCTATCACAGCTCTTCCTCAGTCTTTTAGGAAAGAGACTAGGCTATTTGATCAACTTCTCTGTTCTTGCTTCACCTCTTGTACACCTATTTTGCATTTTCACCAATGCCTTCTAGATGAGAGCTGTTTATGGTACTCAAGGTGCGATCTAGCCAAAGTTCTGTATCTGTTTAACATAACTTTTAACTTTTTAATCCAATCCCTTTTAGGAGTTTTTATGGCCTTATTAGTCTATAGTGCTGCTTATAGTGATTTATAAGTTTGTGCCCTTGAACCCCTCTGGCCTCCACTCTAAACTTTTGAGGGATTGAGTGCAATCAGAAAGGAAGTATACCTTGCTGACTTGGGGCATGGTTACATTGTGAGTCGGGAAGGTATGACTATACTGAGACAAAAGTGAGTCTTATCAGACTGTGGAATGTATTAGAGATGTGATCGCTTGTCAGAATTCCCATTAACGTTGCCAATGTGAATATTCAACCTTTTGGTGTTTTAGGCAGGTCCAGAGGAAATGCTGATAGTCCAATTGTGCCACTTCTTGATGTTCCCGTTCAGCAGACTCCAAGACTGCATCTGAAAACCATGAGTTGTGCCATGACCACAAATGTTTATCTGCAACTCCACTGGGTTCCTTACCTAGTCCTCTTTAAACTGCTCCAGGATCTCTCAAAAAAATACAAAAATGCTGATCTGAGGAGGACGAAATAAACTACACAATGTTTTCAGATGCACGACGAGGCAGAGTTTGTTATTTTGTTTTGTGTTTTGACTTTATTTCTTCGCAATATAAATTATTTCCTGCCTCTTCCTCTGGTCGGAGGCACTGGGCTGATTTAATCTTAAATCATTCAAACGTTGTCTCCTGCCTTTTTCTGTATATTTCAGTCTGTACGTGGAACTGCATGCACTTTCTCACCTCCCAATCAGTGACCTGTCAATGGTGAATGTGTGTTATATTCTCCTTAACTGTGCAAGTGAGTGGTGAATAAACAACTGGACAGGTTCCACAGTTCCTCAAGTTAGCCTTTGCTGTCTTGCCATCTAATTTCAGAATGATGAAGAAGTGAAAATCACCTCTTGAGTAAATCATCCGTTTTTGAAGGGATGTGGATATTGCTGGCAAGTCCAGCATTTGTTGCCAACCTTAGCTGCCATGGAACTTGCTGGGTCATTTCAGAGGATACTTAGGAGCCAACCATATTACTGAATCTGGCATCGCATGCAGACTAGATCAGATTTGGGATAATTGATGTCTGTCCCATGATTGTTATGATGGTTACCATTACTGAGACAAGCTTTCAGTACAGATTTATTAATTAAATTTAATTTCCGCCAGCTTCTGTGATGGGATTTGAGCCTGCAGCCAGTGGACCTCTGGATTGTTAGTCCAGTGAAATTATCACACGCCATCTTGTCCCCAGACAGACAGTCATTTTTCCCCCCACTTCTGGTGACAATTTATTTAAAAATATTTTCAAATATTATTAGCCTGAAGATAACCAGTACCAGGTAACTCATTTATGCTCTGTGTAGGAGATACATTTACTAATCGGTGGGCTGATGTTTCTTATTAAAATTAGAACTATTTTTACATTTGCATGTGTGAAAGATCGTTCTATCCTGCCGTAAACACTAGAAACGTGTGTTCTGCCCTTGTATTGACAATCGTCCTTGTTATTTTTCAAGGTGCCTGATTGTGCAGAAAATGATGACTGTCTTGTGGAAGCTGGGGCTTTGCTCCGCCTGCTTGAAGAAACATTCTTGTGGCTGGACCAGTTTACTTGGTCAGTACGGAAGGCGGGTGCCGGTACATGGCAGAAACCTCTCCAATCATGCAGAAACATGGGAAAGAGAATATAGAACAGAGACGCGAAAACGTGTCGAGAAACATTGGCACTCACGACTAAAGGAGCAATTCCCAGCGATTTCTGAAATGGGTGTAGGTATTTCAAAAAAAAAATTAAATGTATAGAAGGGAAACAACTTGTAAAACAGATTAAGGGAAGGAGCCTACGGACAGGCAAAAATCATTCAGCCACTTGAGACTCAAAGTATATGTATACGACAAGGGCTAGTTTACAATGATGACCACACCATGAAATGCGTATGTTATTCTCTCCTTCCCTTCTTTTTAAACCTCTGTGTGGCATTAGTAATCCTACATGTTGCCCCAGTGCCCACAGGATCTTAACATTAAAAAGGAACAACCCATTTTATTGATGTTCTATTTTAAGTATGCAAAAGTGAAGGGCATTGACCCTGAGTACATATCTCATTTCTGGCATTCACCTTCGATGACTGCATGGCCTAAAGGATAAGGCATCTACCTTTGATATGAATATTGATGCTTTCTGAAAATTGCTTACGCTCGTCTGTGGTCATTTTGGCAAGTCTCACTTGTGCCTTTGTGGGTGGTGCTTTCACTTCTGATTAGAAAGCTATTGTTTCAATTTCCTTTACAGAAACCTAAATGCAAAATCTAGATCCTGTGCTTCATTGTAAAGGTTCCTTCCTTTAGGGGCCAGTTAGGTCAGTTATCTAGGTATGTAGGGTGTGGTTCAGAGGGTCTCTATCAGCAGGGTTTTGTTTTGGCTGAGGTGAACTTGAGACCTATCTCTTCTCCTGTACCATTTTTGATACAGAGTCATGCCTATTAAGTAACATAACCCCTAGTCTTTAACAGAGTGAGTTATCTATAGTCCCACATTAGTTTTTAATGTACCTCCTTCAAATGTTGTTGGATTATAGAAAATTTCTAAAGACTGAGTGAGAAAAGTGAGATTCTGGGATGTTGGCTTAGTTTAGATTTGTGAAGCTGCAATCTGTGACTAAACCAACATATCAAGAAAAAATGTTGTCTAATTTCCTATCTCACTATTTGGCACAGGATCCATTTCACACTAGTTCCTTTTAAACATTTAAGTTTTGAGAAGTTGCAAACATTGTCAATTGTAAAATCATGGATTCACATGTGATACATTTCCATGACTTGAGGAACTGATTGGGCATGAAACAAGTGACTCATTCCTCTCACGTTATCTAGTGAGGGCCTCCAAGTTAAATATCTACATGAAGCACTGAAAATATTCACTAGGTTTGGCATCAGCTGTGGAAAGAGAAAAAAGAGTCACAGTTTCAGGGTAATAATTTTTTTTGTCAGAACCTTAAGTGTTAACTCTGTTTCTCTCTCCATAAGAGCTACTTGATCTGCTGAACATTTACATTATTTTTGTTTTTATTTTAGATTTCCAGCTTTCGTTATGTCAAACTATTAAAAGTACTGATTACCTAACTGTTACTCTTTATCCTTCCTAACTCTAATCTACATCACATTCAACATACAATTATAATTTGCAAGCTTAGATAGGGAAGTAATGTTTTAGTATCATAAGCCTCAGACATGGTGACTTTTGTGGGGTTCTTTTACCTCACAGATTATCTTTATTTTCTCTTTCAGAAATCAAAGCCAAAATGTTATGTCCTTTCCATGTTCCCGTACCCTTCTGGGAAGCTTCATATGGGGCATGTGCGAGTGTACACTATCAGCGACACAATGGCTCATTTCCAGAGAATGCGTGGATTTCAGGTACTGACAGCTCTTCCTCAATTAAAATCTCGCTACAATGTTTTACACTTGTGATTTTGGTTTTGTCCTAATGATGTTTCTTTATGTCTAGGGGAGGTTGGTGGAACATGGTAGCTGGTGGAATTTAAATTCAATTAATAATAGCTGGAATTGAAAGCTAATTATCAGTAATAGTGACCCTGGAGCTATCATCAATTGCCTTAATAACTCATCTGGTTTGCTAATGTCCTTCAGGTCATCCTTTCCAGGTCTGGCTCACATACAATTCCAGACCCACAGCAATGTGGTTGATTCTTAATGCTCTCTGAAGTGACTTTAGCAAGTCACTCAGTTCACAGGCCATTAGAGATGGGCAACTGAGACGGCACGGTGGCTCAGTGGTTAGCCCTGCTGTCTCACGACATCAGGGACCCAGGTACAATTCCAGCCTCAGGTGACTGTCTGTCTGTGTGGAGTTTGCACATTCTCCATGTCTGCGTGGGTGACCTTCAGGTGCTCCAGTTTCCTCCCACAGACAGAAGACATGCAGGTTAGGTGGATCAGCCATGGTAAATTGCCCCATAGTGTCCAGGGATGTGCAGGCTAGGTGGGTTAGCCATGGGAAATGAGGGGTTACAGGGGTAGGGTAGGGGGGGGTGGAATGCTCTCCAGAGAGTTGGTGTGAACTTGATAGGCCGAATGGCCTGCTTCTACACTGCAGGGTTTCCATGATTCTATGATTCTAACTGATGCTGGCCTTACCAGTGATAGCCACCTGCTATGAAGGCATGTGCTCATACAAGAGGTTAGGTCACTCAGCCCCTTGAGTCTGCTCTGCTACTCAATCAGATCATAGTTTATCTGCTTACTCTCTGTTCATGTGTATCGTTGATAATCTTTCACTCTCTTGCTTATTAAGAATCCTTAAAAATATTTAAAGAACTCTGAGTCTTCCACGTTTTGAGTAAGAGTGTTCCAAAGCTCTCAATCCACTGTGAGAGAATAAAACTGTCCTTTATCTCTGCCATAAATGGACTACCCCTTGTTTTTAAACAGAGCCCCCTAGTTCTGGAAGACAGTGGGAGATTTTTGGCACCAGAGGTAAAGTTCAAGGTCTTCCTGGGATGAAAATCAATGACTTTGAGAGAAAGTTGTTAACTTATTAACTTCTCCATGAATATAGTGTTCATGAAGAGAGATGCCTGGCCTCTTCAGACCCGCAAGATGTTTAATTTCTTTGGGAGCTGTATGCACCTTTAAAAGATCTTTGCCAGCCAACACTTCTTTAATTCATAGTTCTATGCTGAGATGAAAATGTGCGCTATAGGATTAAACATAGTAAACTTTACTCAGGGCTGAATATTGATCTCTATTTGTGGTGCTTCCCCATTGGCATTCCAGGCCAGCACCAGATGTTGATCCACAGGATTCCAATACAGTGATTCCTGGCCTCCCCCAGATGTTTCTTTATGTCTAGGGGAGGTTGGTGGAACATGGTAGCTGGTGGAATTTAAATTCAATTAATAAAGCTGGAATTGAAAGCTAATTATCAGTAATAGTGACCCTGGAGCTAGAATTGAAGTCAGCAAGTAACCACCCTCTGTGAGACTGAGTCTAGAATCTGCACAGTGCTTAAAACAGTGGATACAATTAGACATCTCTCCATCCTTAGGAGCTGCTTTATTTTAAAATACACTTTCACTATAGAAAATGCTTCAGGTTTAAAGAGCTTTTCTCTCTGTCCTGTCTGCAAGTGCTGTTTCTTTTAGCAATGACGGTCTTCCTTGGGTTTTGCATTTTTCCTTTTAGCTTTTAATCGCCCTTCTCTGGATTACATAGTGGGTTAATGTTTGATTTATAATTAGTGATTAACACAATCATTTAAATCAAACTGATGTTCATGTGAATGGATTTTGCAGAAAGGCAGGGAGATGGGATTAGTGTCAGCAGTGCTAGTTCAAAAGCTAATAATATATTACAAGCTCATGGGCTTAAATGACGTCATAAACACACATTCAGTCAACTGATTCTCCAGGGTTTCTGTACAATTATTCCACGGCACAATTTTTCTGACAAAATATCTCTCGTTGAATCTCTCCTGTTCGATGATTGTTTGGAAAATACAAACAAAATGTCACAGCTGTGACTATCATTTCCTTCTGTTTCAATTTCATATACTGACTGGAAGAGAAAGCAATTGCATAATTCTATACCAAAAGTAAAAATATGCAGATGCTGGAGATTGGAAATAAAAACAGAAACTGCTAGAGAAGTTCAGCTGATCAGGCAACATCTGTAGTGAGCAAAACAGAGTTAACCTTTCTAGTCTAACATGATTCTTTGGATTCCAAAGACAAGTCATATTGGACTCGATGTTAACTCTGTTTCTCTATGTACATAAAATTGGTGTACATTGTATAAAGTTCACTTTCATTTGAGAAGGAAGTTTGATCATTATCAGTTATAGAAAGGTTTTTTTCTTCATTTTTGCAGTGTTCAGTGGCTATGTGTGTCTTGTTTTTATTCATTTGTGGAATGTGGGCTTTGCAAGTTAGGCCAGAATTTATTGCCTTTAAGGAAGTCATGGGGAACTGCCTCACTGCACTGCTGCAGTCTGTATGATGTAGGTGCGCACACACACAGCTGTTGTGTAGGGAGTTCCAGGATTATTACCTAGCGACAGTGAAGGAATGTCAATATATGTCATATAAGAACTGTCGTACGCAGTGAGTTTGGTTTGATGGGGCCTGTGTTCACAGCACAATTTATCTCTCGTTGAATCTCTGATTGAAAACGATAAAGTTCTCACAGGGCTCGGCAGACAAGATACAAGGAGAATGTTTTCCCTAGTTGACGGTGTCTAAAATCAGGGGCCACAGTCTCGAGACACAGGGCAGGCCATTTAAGACTGAGATGAGGAAACATTTCTTCACTCGGAGGATAGTGAACCTGTGGAATCCTCTACCACAGAAAGCTGTAGAGGCCAGATCACTGCATGTGTTCAGGAAGGAGTTAGATAAATGTTTAGATTTTAAAGGCATCAAAAGTTATGGGGAGAAAGTGGGAATATAGCATTGAGATAGAGGATCGGCCATGTTCATATTGAATGGTGGAGTAGGCTCAAAGGGGCTGAATGGCCTTGTCCTACTTATTTCAACATTTAATCCTTTTTGGTACGTAGAAGGCTTCAGTTAGATAGTCCTCGAAGTCTAAACTTTCTTCATCCCTCGCAGCCTTTCTTGGTGGCAGAGGATTTGTAAACTGTAGTTGTTCTTCTCAAACCTTTAATCTCCCACCATGTCAAAGGACTAAAGCTGACCAGAGCATTCTGGGTATGGTTTGACGTAAAACCTGCATATGGGCCGAGGTATTTATCGTGTTGAGGCTCAACATTACTGGTAGTATATCCAAACCAGCAACGTGGGGCACAGATTCGATCCCTGTTTTTGGACCTTGCTGCCTTTAGGTTGGAGATTTCAGCTTGTGGATTAGGCCAATCTTAAGTAAGCTGAGGTCAAGGGTCACTCTGACCAAGGAAAGAGAGAGGTGTATTGCTAGTCCACTTTCCATCCAGCTAATGCACCACCTTGTCCAATTACTCATCCAGTTGTTTCAACTCCTCTAAGAATTGACATTCTTGAACATCAGCTTAAACAGAAGGTTCAGTTTTCAGATAGCTGAATTTGAGACATTGCTACTGAGATAAGGCACCATGTGCGAAATTATAGCCATGAATGGTTTCTGGTCCCAGTGAGCTATTACATAGTCCTTGCAATTTGAGCATATATGTTGTCAGGGCCGCAAGCCTAATCTTTGTTGAGATCGCTAATTCTAGCCAGTTCTATATCTACTATTGCTTGCTGATTGATGGGATCAATCCATGTTGAATCCTATGTGACCTAATGTCACCTTCGGTGTATGCTAACACAATGTAACCATTTAAAATCTCTACCTAAAATAACAAAAGGGAAAATAGCTTAAAGATTAGAAAAAAGGTCAAAGATCATAAATATTGTTAATGAAAATATGATTATGTCTGGTTTTGAGAAATAATATTGACAGCAATAAAACAATGGATAAAAGCAAGAAGTCAAATAAGTTTCAAAAACAGTATCAATGAATAGGGGCAGGATATTGTTTCTTTGCCCCAAAGATGGAGAAGTCCGAAATGCAGAGGAATCTGGGTGTGCAAGTACATGAATCACAAAAGGTTGGCCTGCAGGTACTGTCTTCATTTCAAAGAAATTCTTAGGGTGCTTGACTGGGTGCATATTGAGAAGTTGTTTCTCCTGTTGGGAAAGTCTAGGGCCAGACGGGCATAATCTCAGAGTAAGCAGTTGCTCATTTAAAACTGAGATGAGGAGGAATCCTTTTTTGAGAGTAAATCTGACCTACTTCTACTCCTATGCCTTAGGTCTTATACCATGTGATTGGAAAGACAAGTAAAATGCTGTTGTTATTTGCAATGAGAATTGAATATAGAATTAGGACAATTTTACAGCAGCTGTACAGGACCTTGGTAGGACTACATCTGGCATACTGTGTACAGTATTTATAAGGGATTTAATTGCCTTAGAAGCAGCTCAGAGAACGTTTGTTCAGCTCACTTCTGTGATCAAAGGCTTAGTTCATGAAGAAAGGTTGAACAGATGGAGGCACTGGCTGAATTTGAAAACAATAATGTTCATGTGCTGAATAGATTATGTATTATAAATGGGTAGCATTTAGAAGAAGGTCATAAAATTCTGTTGAGCTGTTTTATTTCCAATTCCATTTAGTTTTTATTTTGAAAGTATTGTCCTCTGAACTGACAGGAACATGTTGAATTCCAAGTATTCTAAAATCTGATAGGACCTGTATAGCTCACAAAATCATCATTGTGAAGAATATCTTTGCAGTGAAATCGTAAAATGAATGTAAGTAAGTGGCCTTCACATGTTTTCTTGCTGCCTTTCATGGAATAAAGGTATGTAACTGTGCCAGCTTGATTCACCTTCACGCGACAGCACTGAACCAAATAGAAATTGCTTGCTTCAGTGAGGAGTATTGTAACTGTGGTTCTCTCTAAATCACAGGTCTTGCACCCAATGGGATGGGATGCATTTGGTTTGCCTGCAGAAAATGCTGCAATTGAGCGAGGCCTGGATCCTGAAGAGTGGACAAGAAGGTAAATTGAGAAAAATTGTTGAATTTCTTCATCAAAGTGTATAAGGCCAATCTTAATGTCGTTATCACTTAAAATACAGCAGGTGACATCAACCGATATTTTCTGTCATTTGGTGATTTTGATTTAACAGAAATTATCCCTTCCAAAGCAAAGTTTCACAAAACAGCTTCTTGAAATCAATCCTGAAATTGTATTCCTTAGGCTTTTTGCAAAATGTGGTGGATGCAGGCATGATTACAATGTTTCAAGAGACATTTAGATAAGTACATGAATAGGAAAGGTTTGGAGGGATATGGGCCAGGAGCAGGCAGGTGGGACTAGTTTAGTTTGGGATTACATTCAGCACGGACTAGTTGGACCGAAGGGTCTGTTTCTGTGCTGTATGACTCTATAATGGAAGTATCAAGAAATGAGATACACGTTACAGTGTGACTAGCAACGAGTGTCCAGAGTTTTGATTCCCTGTTTGAAACATTGAACCATACAATTGCAATGCTGTGAATTTTACTTAAGGTGTGTACTGATTGAGTTACGCTATAGTTTGATCTCTGAGAGTTTATCATGTTGGGTGGTATTTCCTTCATATACTTTGCCTTATTTTGTTATCATTTTCTTTCCTAGCTTGATGCATACTGCTGTTGCTGTGCAATTGCTTTTTATTTAAATTGAAAACATAAGATGCTGTGAGGTGCTGCTAATTAAGTTGCTTAGTGAGTGCTTGCCACTTCAAGCTGTACTGAAACTTAGGGAAAAGTCTATTTTTATCATGAGCCATCCTTCCCTGGTAAGGTCTACACGTGACTCCAGACACACTACAATGTGCTTGCCTCTTAAATGTCCTTTGAAATGGCTGAGCAAACCACTCAGCTCAAAGGCATTTAGGGATGTACAACAAATGCTGGCCTTGCCACTAGTGCCCACATCTCATGAAAGAATGATAAACAGACAGTCTCCTGCCGCTGTGTTAATATCCAACGCCGGGCACCTGAAATGGAAAATATTTCATTCCCCAGAAGCAATGTACCTTGCTTTGATGAACAGAAAATTCATCCTCTGCCAACAGTTTGCCATTCACCCACAATTGGAGGTCTCTAACATGGAGCACTCGCCCATTGGAGATCAGGAAGAAAGGCCATCACTTGGCAGCAGCTGATACCAGGCATGTTGCCTGTGAAGCATTCCTGAGTTGATGGCTTTGTGCATTCAGTTCAGTTTAGACACTTTACACTGCTGAGTCATTTCACGCAAGTTACAATGCTACTGGTGTTGGCACAGCTTTGAAAGTTGATTTGTATTCTAAAGCCCATGCACATGTTGATGCACTCTTTGAATTGAGCCTTGTTTGAAGGTGAGTTATTGAACAACCAGGAGTTACCCCTGCCTTAATGTTGCTCATTCCTAATCACGGAAATGTTTAATGGTGGGTTGCCTTTTTATAAACAGGATTGTGTGTGCAACATGAAGTACTATTTTTGTTAACTCTCACCTTTTGCAGGAACTGATCTGAAAGGTGTGACATTCTCACTTATGTTAGACATGTACTGAATTGCTTTCATGTTTTATTTCATCGAGTTACTTTAAACATTAGAGACATGCTGATTGCACAATACAGAATCGGGTGTTTATTGGGACACCACAACATGAGATCCAGTATGTGTGCTCAGGTCTTTAGCGAAGCCTTATAGCTCATGGTTTACTTGGGGTCCATCATACAGTGTTTCATTCAAAACTCTTAAGCTAAATCAAACTTTCATCTAAACGTTTCATGCATATTGTCACTAAATCACAATACAGCGAGCCTGCATAATGAACTCTGAATAACAGCCTGGAGGCTACAAAATACACTCAGCCCTTAATCTCTTCCAATCATTTCATTATTTGAAACACAAGTGATCCAATGAACAACTTGCAGATGATCAGAGATGTGGGTGAGTAAGTTTCACACATTCTATCAACCTCTCAGCCAAGAAAGTGTCAGGTTCATTTTAACCCATGCGCTGTCAAAATTGGTCTTTATTCATCTGTTTCCATGAACAGCACTGAGTATTGAAATACTTGGGTAGTGTGAAGTCCTTATTTAAGACTCTTTTCATAGCAGTACACATTCCGCAGGGTGTGTCAATATCCATTAGATTCCATATGTAGTTGCTGTAAAGTTTTGGGGGAGGGGAAAGATTTTTGTTCTGCAACACTAGGCATTAATGTCGACTGATTAAGTGGAAATTGATGTCTCCATGCTTCACAGAGCAGGAATTAAATTGGTTAAAATTTAAATGTGGCCTTTTCCGAGACTGGGGGATAAAGTTAGTGGTTTCCGAATAGGACCCAACATTGTACCACTCAAGTTGAATTGAACACCTGAGTGCTAGGATGAGACAGGAGGCTGACAAAGGTGACAGGAGTAGGAAAGGTTGAGGCCATGGAGCAGATTTGTAGATGGGCTGATGATTTGATATTCAATTCGCTGAGGAAAACCCCATTGTCATCCTACTGGGCAACTTCCAGGATGCAGAGGTGATGAATTAGCTGGTCCTCTTCCATCTGATTATGGAACTAGTGTATGACATTGGAACAATATGTGGCATTTGGCATTGAGTAGACACCAATAGTGAAGTGGCTATCATGGATGGTACAGGCTAAGAAGTTAACAGGGAAGGTGTTGGAGAAGCTATTCGAATTTTGGAGCAGAAGTAGGCCCCTTGAGCCTGCTCTACAATTCAACAAGATCATGGCTGATCTGATTGACCTGCAGTTCACTTTCCTCCCTACCCAAGTTATCCTCTGATACCCTGGAGGTAATGGAAGCATGGGAAAGACCATGGAGCAGGGGGAATGTGAGGACAGAGCATCCGTGGTAAATGGCCTTGATGTACATTAAGGGATCTGGAGTTCAACTCTGGATTAAGAAGAGAGTTGCACACAGTCTGAGCAAGGGGATAAAAGCAAAATACTGCAGGTGCTAGAGATCTGAAATTTGAAAAATACAAAAAGTTGGAGAAACTCAGCAGGTCTGGTAGCAGTTGCAGTGAGAGAAACAGAGTTAATCTTTTGAGTCCAGTGTGACTCTTCTTCAGAACTCTTCTGTCTCTTTTCTTTCACCCCAGGTTCCGAAGAACAGTCAGACTGGACTTGAAAAGTTAACTCTGTTTCTGTCTCCGCAGATGCTGCCAAACCTGCTGAGTTTTTCCATCACTTTGTTTTCTGAGAAAGGAGGTGATGTTAATGACAAGGCCACAGGGTGGTAGGATGAAACAAATGGCTTTAGCAAAGACAAACTTGGAGGAAATCGTAGCTCGCACTTGCGTTAACATCAGGCACTTGGTCTAAAGGAAGTCCTGTGGTGCAGCGGTATCATCCCTGTCTGTGAGCCAGAAGCTTTGGATGTGAGGCTTACTCAAGAACTTGATGGCCAGAGCAATGGTCACAAGGGATGATCTTCAAACTATGGCCAGCTCTAGCATGGGAAATCTCTTGATTAGACAGTTTAATGTTGAGTGGCACCCCTCAAGCTGTAGCCTCTTACAACAGGATATTGACTTCTGGAAAACCTAATTGTGTGATATGTCTGCCTCCTAGATCAATAGATGCAGGAAGTTTCTCAGGTTGAAGTAGTCTAAAATGACTCAACCTTAGCTGCAGATAACACATACAAATGAGATAAGACTGTTGACACTTATTGATGTCCATAAATCGAAACACTGATCAGTGCTGCTGTGCAGAAGGCTGTTAGTGACTGTTACTGTAACACGCTATCAGCAGGTGAGAAAGCTAAACACTGGCATGGTGTAAATAATTAGTGGGTTTATCTATTGGGCAATTGATTTAAACTTTAATGAGTGCAATAATAAGGTGGCAGCTGAGAGAATGAGCTACAAAGAGCAAATTAACAAGAACATATCAGTCAATGCTCACAAGTTGACTTGGCTTTGTTTTTCTTTTTCGTATAGTCCGGTGTATTTTTTGTAATTGCCTTTTTCTAAATGGCTCGAACAAGCAGTGTGTTTCTGAATCAAATTTTAACCAATGCCACCCAGTAGATTCAGTAGCAATATAAACAGAAAAGGCTAAAATACTCCGGTCAACCATCACCCGTGGGGAGAAAAACAGAGTTAACATTTCAGGACTGAAGACGCAATTCAATGGGCAGTTGAGCTCTACGTTTTAGGAATTTTCTCAAACCGTTTTGGTGCAATTTTGGCCTCTCTGTGCCCCTTACTTGAAACATAAATATGTTTGGCACAGCCTTTTTTTATGGGGGGTTTGATGCCAAGCTTCTGCATTGTGCAGGTTGAGAAGTCCTCTGTGTGATGCACTGAATTTGAACTTCACTGTGTAAATGTAAACATTGCACAATTTAATATTGAATTCATATGAAGTAAAACAGAGAGGGTAAGGAGGTAGGATTCATTCATTTGCATTTAAATTGGCAAGATCTCTTATTCTGGCATGTTTAATACTGTAAGCTGACCGTGTTGTATGGATTTTGATGTTGAATTTCTTGAAGTACTGGTTTGTCAAAGTTTGGAGAACAGGAATGGAAATCAGCTTCTGGATTTCCATGCTTTGCTCGGTGTGTGTAATCACCAGAAGTTGCTGTCTTTCTTGCTTTATTAAGAGTGAGTAATGAAAGCTTTGCCATTTATTCTAGTATAGAAACTGGGCGATTAATATCTTTTGCAAGTTTTGTCATCCTTAAATCTGTAGTGTAGTTGGTCACTAATGTTCAGAAGCCTGTTCTTTAATGATCTCACAAGGGAGAGGGAAGTAATTGCATTCAGCAGCAGTGAAGTTCAGACTTGTTCACAAAATGGGTTCCTATTGCCAAATGTCTGATCCCTCTGCTATTCAGTTCATTTTTAATGTTGGTTTAGAGCCATTCAGCCGTTTATTTGTTCTGTTGTGGATTGTGTTCTCTGAAAAGTGACGTAATCACGAGCTGTGCTCAGAGATGCAGACGTGTTTGACGTGCACAGCTTCACAATTTGTGTTCGTTTTTGATTTTACGGAAGAAATAGTGTTGCTGATTTGTATAATAGCAGGCAGTTCAGCAATGAACTCCAGCTAATAAGGTACGTGCTGTTTGAACAAATAATATTTTAAAATACTGCAATGTTCTAGTATTTAATAGTGGAAGTCAGATGTGGAGCTTGTATTTTCTAGCAACCAGCTGGAATACCGAAGACACCCAGGTCCAGTGAACTTCCATCAGCCTTACTTGGTTCCCTGCCTGAGGCAGGTCTGAACTGCAGCACCATAACATCCACCTTGGGAACGGCAAAGAGGCAAGTCCTGACTCTATCCCAGCCAGAAACAGAGATTGAACCCATGTTCTGGGCACTGATCTGATCCACTCCAGCTGTCCAGCCAACTGGCACCCCAAGGAAACATAGAAACAAGCATAGAAATTGCTGGAAAAACTCAGGAAATCGGGCAGTATGTGTGGAGAGAAAGCAGAGTTGACGTTATAGGTTCATCGACCCTTCTCCAGAACTCAGAACATGGAAACTTAGAAAATGAGAGAAATAACAGTGAACTTCAAAGTGCCATTTGGCACTTTGAGCCTGCTTCACCCTTCATTATGTTCATGGCTGATCATCCAACTCGGTACCCTGTTACCAGTTTGTCTCCTTTGATCCCTTTAGCTCTGTGAACTATATCTAAGTCCTTCTTGAAAACATTCAATGTTTTAGCCTCAATCACTTTGTGGCAGAGAATTCCACAGGCTCCCCACTCTCTGGGTGAAAAATGTTTTCCTCATCTCAGTCATAAGAGGCCTACCCTGTATCTTTAAATTGTGACTGCTGGTTCTTGACTCCCTGGTCATTGAGGACATCCTTCCTGTGATTGTTCTGTCTAATCTGTTAGAATTTTATAGGTTTTTATGAGATCCCCAACCATTATTCCAAACTCCAGTGAATATAGTCCTAGCAAATCCAGCCTCTGTTCAGACACTAACCCTGCCATCCCAGGAGAATGAGTTGTTGTGGTAACATTCACTGTTATGTGTGCAGTAACTTGGGGGCTTTAAATAGTGATGGTAGATGTTCCAACTTTCTTTCTATCACATGGCTGACCAGGAATCTCTGCTTTTCCTTATGCTTTCCTATTGGTGTGAGTTAGATACTCTACCTGTTTGGCCATGTTGTTATAAACACACCATCTGTGGCAGTCGTGACCTGGAGTGGGGCTTGAACCCAGGGCTTCTAGCTCAGAAGCAAGAACAGTACCCACTTCAGTACAAGACCGCCTCAGCTCTATTACTATGCCCTATTGATGTTGCCTCTGCCCAACCTCTGTCTGAATTGCAGAGTCGTGCCATCTTTTATTTCCTGAAAGATTGTTGATTTAGTTTGAGCAGTGGACTGAGGGGGGAATAAAGATTCTTTTCCTAGACAACAATCCTCTTCAGGAATAGGCTGCCATCTTTTGCAGAGGGCGTTGATTCTCCTGAATTCTTCCAAATGCGAACTTTGACTTCTTTCTGGCTTGTGGGCAAGTTTGCCTCTTGCAGTAGTGAAGTACCATTGGAGAATTCAGGACCAGAGAGATCTCCTGTACTTGTTCTCAAGGCCGCAGTGGGGCAGAGAGGAATCTCCCATGTTATATTCCTCTGCACTGGCCTTATTCAGAATCAGATCTCTCCCAGAAAACAACATCGGAAAGTTTGCTCATGCCCAGCAATGAAATTAAATATCAGGCATTCTGTATAATGACTGGCTGGTTTGATTGTATCTGTTTTACTCCTTCGCCCGATGTGTCTTAACCCCATGTATATTTGGGTGGAGAGGGGAGTGGTATATATTATGTGATACTCAAGGTATCACAATCATGTAGGATTAACCGGGTGGGCCAGAGGGTGTTTACTTGTTCAGACTTGGTGCTAATGTCCGAAACCATGAAGGGCTACCCCTCGCCCTGAGCTGGACTTCAACACTGAGCTCGCCAATTTCAGGTGTTGGGCACAAGAATCAGTGGTAACACCAGCAGGAAGAAAAGTTACAAGGTGAATCTGGAATATGCTGCCAGAAAGGGTAGTGTAATTGTGATTTTCAAAAGATTTGGATCAACACTTGAAAGGCCACCAACTTGCAATGTTGTATGGACAGAGCCCGCGTGTGAGACTAATTGGATCGCTCTGTTGATGAGTTAACCCATGGACTCCTATTATGCTGCATCATTGTATGATGTAGCAGACATAGACCTTTATTAGACCAGGAGGAGTATTGGTGTGTGGTACTTCCCAGATTATCTTTTCCATTGTGTAGCTGGTGGATGCATTACCATCGCTGAATTCCCCCCCCCCACCATTATTAGCATCCTGGGAGTTACTGTTGATCAGAAATTGAGTTAGACTGAATTGATACAGTGGCTACAAGAGCAGGTCAGAGGCTGGGAATTCAGTGGTATATAACCCACTTCCATACTCCCCAAGGCCTGTCCACCATCTACAAGGCACAAGTCAGGAGTGTGATGAATACTCCCCACTTACATGGATGGGTGCAGCTCCAACAACACTGAAGAAACTTGGACACCATCCAAGATAAATCCGTTTGATTGGTGCCACATCTGCAAGGCTCCTTAGACAGCACCTTTCAAACCCACTACTACTTCCATCCAAAAGGGCAAGGGCATCAGACACCTGGGAACACCACTGCCTACAGGTTCTCCTCCAAGCCACTCACTATCCTGACTTTGAAATATATCGCTGTTCCTTCACTCTCACTGGGTCAAAATTCTGGAACTTCCTCCCTCATGGAATTGTGGATGTACACACACCAAATGGGATGGAGTGGTTCAATAATGTAGCTTACCGCCACTTCCTTACTTACAAAAAGTGATGGGCAAGAAATTCTGGCCCAGCTGGCAGTGTCCCCACTCCGTGAATGAATAATTTTTTTTTTTAAAGCATGTTGTCAGCAATTTCTATTTTCATACAAGACCCCTATGTCTGCGGTTTATTCTTGCTTTTCTGATCCTTTCTCACTCTTCCCTTGATGAATTTCTCCCACGTTTTCACCAGCTTAACTTTTAAATAAAGTCTCTTAACAGATTTCAATTTCCTCAGATCTTTTATTGCTGTTTGCAAATCTTTACTACTGGTGACTGACCTGCTGTACTTTATTTGTATTGCAAATCAAAACACTGTTCGTAGAGGTTAATCTACTGCCAATTATTTCGTGATGGAGCAGGAAGAATGATATTGTAGAGTTTACCAGTCTTTCTAATTCACTGTTTAGATGTATGATGAGTTGGCTAGGCCTGCATTTATTGTGTCTCCCCTGACAAGGTGTTTGTGAGCTGCCTTTCCTGGACTGCTGTAGCCCATGTGGTTAAGATGCACTCGCATCAGTGGCAGGCAAGGAGTGCCAGCATTTTGAATCAGTGATGTCTTGATCCTGATGTTGTGTTGCTTAGAGGTCTCTTTCCACACACTCACTCATCCTTGTCCTGCTGGGCAGTCAAAATGATGAGTTTGGGCAGTGCTGCCAGGAAAGCCTTGGTGAGGTGTTGCAGTACGTCTTGTAGATAGAACGCACTGTTAACCACAGTGTGCAGATGGTATAGGGAATGGATGTTTAGTCTAATAAATGTAAATGCCAGTTGAGAATAATAGTTTCCTGGCTGGTGTAGAGCTTCAACAAGGCCACAGGACAGTTTTCCTTCATAGCAGAGACCAATACTCCCTCTGATACTCAATACTGCAAAGCCAGTAGACAATGCATTGGCACACGAAACAGTGTCTATGGGTTCCTGGAAGAACCTTGGAGCAGCTTTGCAGCTTCAGTGGAGCACTGGTCCTGACGTATGCCTGGCAGCTGGCAGGAAGGCTTTGGGGAGTCAGGAGGAGAGCCACTTGAATGCAGAATATTGACCTGCTCTGAAATAACATTTTGGGGAGCCCCTCAATTGATTTGAAATTTTGGAACTTGATCCACTTTTGTCTTCTTGGTTTATTTTTCCAGGTGAGTCTAACTGAACGTTTTAAATAGCTGCTTAATGATTTCAAGATTTTTTGTTTTAGCCAGTGGTACATATATTCCAGATTTATAAATAATGTTAGTGTACCTCTGGTGTTTCTTCTGGTAATACTTGGAATTGAATGAGTAATTTCCCTTGTTGTTTTCTTGCAGTAATATTGCACACATGAAAGAGCAGCTTCAGAACCTGGGACTATGTTTTGACTGGCAAAAGGTGAGTGACTGCAATCCGCAGTATTAGTTACTGGGGGTCTCTGCAACAATATTTAAAAAATGAATGATGATTGTTTGACACAAGTACAGCTTAAGAGCACAGTTGGTCCACAGACTATTCAGTCACCTCAGGACCCGCAACCATGATTGGAAGAAAGTCATCAACAATCCTGGAGGACTACCAAGAAAGAAGCTTCATACGTCTCTTTACCTAAAGGGAAGGACAGGTTGAGAAGGGGGGGATAATGTGGAACATGGTTAGCTACTTTGAGTAATTATTGCTCCTGTGTAAGAGTCGACCTGCCGTTTTACCCCTGGATTCTTAGATTTTCATATCACGTGTATAAGTCGACCCCTAATTTTAGCTGGAAAGTATTTAATTTTTAAAAATACCTTGTGCTAGAATCATAGAATCCCTACAGTGTGGAAACCGGCCCTTCGGCCCAACTAGTCCCCACTGACCCTCGGTGTATCCCACCCAGACCCATCTCCCTAATCTACACATCCCTGAACAATATGGGCAATTTAACATGGCCAGTCAACTTAGCCTGCACATCTTTGGATGTGGATTGGTGGGAGTGGTACGGTGAGTTGCCTTCAAAATTAATTATTTCTGAGCTGAAGGGCCTGTTCCTGCCCTGTAGCGTTCTCTGTAAACACCAGAAATTCAGAATGTGGAGGTGCCGGTGTTGGACTGGGTTATCGTCCAGCAGGAAATCCTGAAGACCCAGCATGGATTTCAACTCTTCGGAAGTATTGTTTGTATAAAGGCCGACTTCGTAATTTTTCCTTAAATATTTGGTCTCAAAAACTCGGCTTTTATATGCGTATAAGCGCAACATGAAAGGGATGAGGTTGAAGATAATCCAGTGCTTTTTAAACCAGACTGTAGTTCTAATTAAATTATATGGTGTTGCCAGTTTGAGTCAGTAGGTAGTATGCATCACCTTGATGTTAAACAATGAGTTTAAATCCACTACAGAATACAAAATCCCAGTTGGAATTAAGTGCAAAGTCCCTAGAGTCCTGATCAATATTTATCCCTTAACCAACATTACTGAAAAAAAAAGCTTCTTTAGTCTGACATTGCTGTGTGTGGGAGCTTGCGGGGCACGTTTTGTTTACATCTTTCCTACATTACAACAGATTCTGCACTTCTTCAAACCTGCATCGTTGGCTGTGAAGCATGTGGAAATGTCCTCAGGTTGTGAAGGTTGCTTTGGAAGTGGACATACAAATATCTATTATCTATCTTTGCTATTTTCATTTTAAAAATGTGCATTTAATTGTTGGACTAGGACCAAAAGGTATCCATCTGAATCAATATTAATCCTGCTGTAATGGGACATAGATGTGGTTCCAAACTGCTGCTGCTCTCCTAGCTAGTGCTTCAATGATACACTACATTGTGCATTTAACCATTCATTACCTCAGTTATAGCCCTTTCCCTGAATCTAACTTGAACCATTTGTGGGTTATGTTATAAAATTATTAATGACAAAAATGTCTTGGTGAAAAGTGGATTGAGAAATGCTGAGTGAAGCTGGTGACGTTGACCATGTCAAAAACTGAATGAAGTGAGAACCAAGTGGTTGAGGGTCACTGTCGCAGAGAGTCTCCCTTATTTAAATTCATTTTGCACCTTTTCAGTGCTTTTGGGAGAGTTTGATCAGAGAAATCATGGAATAGATCTGGACGGCCACAACACATTGAGAGAGTTAAGGACGGCACAGTGGCTCAGTGGTTAGCACTGCTGCCTCACCACACCAGGGACCTGGGTTTGATTCTGGCCTCGGGCGACTGTGTCCGTGTGGAGTTTGCACATGTCCCCTTTGTCTGCGTAGGTTTCCTCCAAGTGCTGTGGTTTCCTCCCACAGTCCAAAGATGTGTGGGTTAGGTAGATTGGCCATGCTGAAATTGTCCTGCAGTGTCCAGGGTTCTGCAGGCTAGGTGGATTAGCCATGGGAAATGCAGGGTTACAAGGGTAGGGCAGGTATGGATGGGATGCTCTTTGGAGAGTCAGTGCAGACCTGATGGGCCAAATGGCCTCATTCAGCACTGTAGGATTCTATGATTCTAGTTTGGAGATGGTACAGTGACAGAAGGATGTAGAAGATGATTTTTGCCAAAATCATGTAGATAGAAAAAGAGATCAAGAAACTGATCAGTTGAGCCGTCTCCATTCATTTACTATTCAGATGTCAGCTCTGGAACCCAAGGAATGAATGTGTTAATTTTAAATTTGAGGTTTTTTTTTTAAAAGTAAAGCTTTGAAGGATATGTGCCAAAGGCAGGTGAATGGAGTTAGCCACAGACAGCCATGATCTCATTGAATGGCAGAACAGACTCGAGGGGCTGAATGGCCTCCTCCTGTCCCTGTGCCTTCATTGCCACTGAACTGGAAAGAATCAGGCTGTTTTAATTTTGACAGTATTGGCTACTTCACCACATTTGCACATTCATTGACAATGAATATAAAGAAAAATGATTTTTTTGTAATTGATCATGCCTTTGGCAATTAGTGCAGTCCTGGCAGTACTTGTCAGAGTCTAGTATGCTTCGCGTTCCACAGGCCTTTATCTTGTAATGAATCATATCTCATTTGAGTGATCTAATCTCTCCTGGCAGTAATTTAAACTTCAGGATTTACCGTGGGTGCACAATTAATCCAGACCAGGACTCACTGAGAGTCATTTCAATTCTGATAGAATGTTCACCTGTTGCCTCATTAATTTATGCTGTCATTATTTAAAAAAAACATAAAGGACTGAATTCCCAGGATGGAGTGTAGTGAAATTTAGAACCTGTCTAATAGATTCTGTCTGTGTGCACTTTGGAGTGCAGTGGGTGTTATGTGGGTGGAGCACGTTTCAGGACAGTAAAACCAAATCTAAATGGAAGGAAATTTTGAAAAAGAAATGTGCTGAAAGAACTGGCAGTGTTTCATGAAGTTACCGTTCTAATGATTAGCATACACAGGTGAAGCATCATATTGCTAACTTTAATTCCGGTTACAAAAACGTTGACATTTTATGATCTTTATTTCCAGCGATAACATTTATAAAATGATGTCTAAGAGATGGGTAAGGCTGATTAGGGGATCAACAAAGGGAATGCTGGGTAGATGGAGAACTTGGGTGAGCTACAGAATGAGTACTTTACATCTGTTTTCACTGCAAATGCTGAAGGACAATGGATAAAGAAATTTGACTAGATATTTTCATTATAAACACCTTTTCTTACTTTTAATATGTCTTGCACCCAAAGGGTGAAAACTGCATTGTCTAGGATTCATTCCAGCAGATTGCCCAGTCAGTCTGAATTCAATAATTGGGAAAGATCTAAGAGTCCTTAAATTCAGAAACAAATAAATATTCTCTTCATGGAACTTGAATTCATTCATGTAGGAGCAAATTACTGCAGATGCTGGAATCTGAACTGAAAACAAAATTGCTCGAGATCACAGCGGGTCAGGCAGCATCCATGGAGAGAGAGCAAGCTAATGTTTCAAGTCTAGATGACTCTTCATCAGAGCTGACGATTTTATGTTTTGAATTAATTAATGACTGCAAATGCAGACTTGGTAAAGGGGAGTAATATCTACCAATTTAAATGAATTCTTCACGTTAACCGAAGGTTGTTGAAGGTAGTGCAATTAATATTGTGCATGTGGCCTTTCAAAAGGCATTTGATACAGTTTCACATGCTAGATTTTATTTAGCAAAATGGAAACCATGGATTAAAGAGACAGCCATAGCATGGGATGCAAAATTTCATGTCAAGAAAGCTAAAGCAGACAATACGATGGAGATGCACAAATTCACAGGTTGAGAGTTGGAAAATGGAAAACTTAGACCGATCCTAGGTTGCAAAGGATTTACCATGTTGTTTTGAAGCAAAAGTGATCAAAAACCTGAAGATTGTCTGCTGTTTGCAAACAGGTCAAAGATCACATGACACTAGGTTTATAGTCCTACGGGTTTATTTGAAAACACAAGCTTTCGGAGATCACCTCCTTCCTTAGGCGTAGTGTGAGACAGAGGGTATAAGACACAGAATTTATAAACTGAAAGGTAACAACCCTAAAACTGGCTGCCTCTTGTTGAATCTTTAATCAGTAAGGAAGGAGACTCCTGATTAAAATGCAAAATCCAGATTCCCCTCCGGTCATTGTCCCGAGATAATTAAAAGTTTTATCAGTGTATGCATGAGGTGTCATCTCAGGTCAGAACATACATTTTAGGTGTGAAGTCTTGCTTAGGATCTGACTGTTTAAACTGGGGTCAAGTTTTATATTTGTGAGCAAAATAGAATGTATCTGCAACTACACAAACGTTTTGGATGAAATAATTCGCATGTGTCTGTGAAAGAGATGGTGTGTGCGTGAGAGAGTGAATGTGTGTGTGTGTGAGGGAGGGTCTGTGCAAGTGTGTGTGTATATGTGTGTGGGAGTGTATAGTGTGGTGGGGTCACCTGTAGTGCGACGTGAACCCAAGATCACATTTGAGGCCATCCTCATGGGTATGGAACTTAGCTTTCAGCCTCTGCTGAGCGATTTTTGCGTTGTTGTGTATCTCAAAGTCCACCTTGGAGGACACTTACCCCAAGATGGGAAGCTGAATGTCCTTGACCCCTGAAGTGTTCTCACACTGGGAGGGAACACCCCTGTCCAGTGATCGTTGCAAGGTGTCCATTCATGCATTGTCGTAGCGTCTGCATGGTCTTACCAATATACCGTGCCTCGGGGAATCTTTGCCTGCATTGTATGAGATAGACAACATGGGCTATGCAGACGCTATGACAACAGATGAATAGACACTGTGCAATGATCACTGGACAGGGGTGTTTCCTCCCAGTGGGGGACCACCTCAGGGGTCAAGGACATTCAGCCTCTGATCTTCAGGTAAGTGTCCACCAAGGCAGACTTTGAGATACACAACAATGCAAAATTGCTGAGCAGAGGCTGATTGCCTAGTTCTATACCCATGACGATGGCCTCAATCATGATCTTGTGTTCATGTCGTACTTAGGACCCCACCACACTATACGCTCCCCCACACACACGCATACTAATTGTTTCATCCAGGATGTTTGTGCAGTTGCAGATACATTCTGTTTTGCTCAAAAAAATAGGATCTGACCCCAGTTTAAAACACAGACAGATTATAAGCGAGACCTTGCACCTAAAATGCATTGTCTGACGTGAGATATCACCTCATGTATACATTGATAAAACCTTTAATTATCTCGGGATAATGACTGGGCAGGAATCCGGATTTTGCTTTTTAATTTTAATTTCGGTCTCCTTCCTGACTGATTTACAGATTCAACAAGAGGCAGCCAGTTTTAGGATTATTACCTTGCTGCTTATAAACTCTCTATTCATACCCTCTCTCTCACACTGCACCTAAGAAGGGAGCTGAGCTTGGAAAGCTTGCATTTTCAAATAAACCTGTTGGACCACAACCTGGTGTCATTTTTGACCTAGTCCACCCCAGTCCAACACTGGCATCTCCATGTTGTTTGCAAAGAGTTGAGACACTTTGGGGGCGGGACAGAAAACATTTTGAGAGAGATGAATTGTTCTGTTTTTAATTGCTAGTCAAATCAACTGAGTTTTGGAAGGGGCCTAGTGTGAAGGTTACCTAGCAACAGCCTCTGAACTGTTTGTATGTATTTTGCTCCAGACCTCGAAGTTGTGGCCAGTTGTAATAAGTTGCCAAGAGGGAAATCTCTTCCCCATTATCTGAGTAACAATAAAATCCTCTGAAGAAAACCAGCTGAAGAAGTAACTCGGTGAAGTATTTACCAAGAATCAGAGAAGGCTTCAGGAATCACTATCTCTGATCTCCTCATGAACTTTGCAAACTGTCGTGAGACCTATGTCTCACTGACCTCTATCCTAAATGGATGTACTTCCATCATTGTGCGATTGACAGCAAAGTGAACTTGTTGACAAACATTGAAGAATTGTTTGAAAACCATTCCACCCCTTTAGTTTGGACTCTTGATCAAAAGGGTTTTTCTGTCTTTTCTTCCCCCTCCCACTTGTCGTTGCTCCACAGAGTCTGCATATGAATGTGTTTGGGATTAAGAGGGCCTAGTTTAGTCCTGAATAGCAGCTTAATGGATAACCAGCTCGACCACATGTTTATTAGAAGCAAACTTGTGTTTTGAACAAGTTATTTTAGAGTTTAATACTAAATAAAAAGCAAAAGAACTGCGGATGTCAGAAATCAGAAACAAAAACAGAAACTGCTGGAAAATTCAGTTCTGACAAAGGGTTACTAGACCCAAAACATTAACGCTGATTTCTCTCCACAATTGCTGCTAGACTGGCAATTTCCAGCAATTTCTGTTTTTTTGTTATTTTAGAGTTTACAGAAGCAACTTTGTGAAAATCCTTTTTCTTCTAGAAGCAATTTGCTAATTGTTGTCATTATGTAATAATTTCAGTTATAATTTCAGTACAGCTCGTGGAGAAGAGAGGCTTGGTTTTCAGCACATTTCTCCTGTCAGTTGTAACTAGTAGTAATGAGCAGTTGTTTATTAGACCAAAAGGCAGTGTATACTTCTGTTCACTGGGGTTAGTATTAGGGCCACTATATTCTATTTCTCATATTGATGGAATGAAAGACTTATATAGCACTATTCACAACTACTGTACATCCCAAACCTCTACAGTAACAACATACTTTTGTAGTACACTTGTTATTTTAATACAAGGCATGTGAACCAATTTTGACACAGTTTTTACGTCCTGCAATAATGATGATAATGACCAGATCATCAAGTTTGACGATGTTGGTTGAAAGATAAATCTTGGCCCAGATACCAATTAGAATTTTCCCTTCCTCTTTTAAATAGTGCGATGGGATCTTTTGTGCCTTATCGCGCTGTTGCTAGACTTTGGATATCAGCAGATGAGACATTTCCAAGAGCCTCCCTTGATTGAAGAACTTCTTCAAGTTTCTCAAAACAGGGAGGAAGATAGTAGCAGACTTCATGAGGACGTGGACTGGTGAATTGGTGAATTGGTGAAGCGGATGGTCAATGCAATTTAATGAGCAAAGTGTGATCCAGAACTATATGGTGCAATTTTAAAGAGATGTATTAACAGGGAGATGAATTCAGCTTTGTAAATAGAGGTGTAAAAATTAATAAACCTTTGTATGTTCATAGATTAGTTTTCAATTAAATTTAATTCTGGGGCATTGCACTTTTAGAAGGATGTGAGAGCCTTGATGAAGGTACTGAGAGCTTCTGCCACAAGTACACCAGGGATGAAGGGGCCATCAGTTACATGGTGACACCACATCTGCTTGGATTGATCTCCTTTTAAAGCAAAAGAGGGTCAGAGCAGATTTAATAAGTGTTGAAAATCAGGAAGGGTTTTAGCGGAGATAATAAAGTGGGACTATTTAACTCGCAGGTGGGTCAATAGCCACTGGATTTTTAAAAGAATTAAGATAATTGGCAAGAAAAGGCTGAGGGGTGATGGACGGAAATTATTTCACACTGCCAGTAATTAAGATATGTAGTGCACTGCATGCAAGTATGTTGTGAATAGATTCAACAGTAACATTTGAAAGTCAATTGGGTATTAACTTAAAAAAGGAAAGTTTATGTAGGAGTAGGTCTGATTGGTGAGTCTCCACAATCCCAGTGCTTCACAGACACAAGCCCAGTGCTTCAACCATCTCCTATGGTGGGTGACTGATTTTATTGGGGTCGACATGTGCATTAAATTGTGCCAGTAGAATGTGAAATTTATCTCTGGTTGTGTTCAAGCTGCTCTTTACTTTCCCCTACAGGAGGTGACCACCTGTCATCCCGATTATTACAAATGGACCCAATCCCTGTTTCTCCAACTGCATGAAGCTGGCATGGCTTACCAAAAGGAAGTGAGTTATAGTCACTCTATACTACTAAGTGTTATAAAAGTTTGGCAAACATGACAACCTATGTGTATGTACACCAGATAGTAGGGAGAGTTACACAGCAAGCTTTGTCCAGAGATGCAAATGGTATAAACCATGTGATAATCATTATTGTAAATTCATTTGAACTCTGTATTATTTCTTTTAATACAATAGAGAATGTGCTTCCTGGTGGTGTATTCCTTTTAGGGTTATTTCCTAATGGCTGTTGACAGAGATAATTTTATGTTTCAGGTTATGGAAATTTCATGGGTTATAATGCCACATGAAATTTTATCTGAAATAATTTGATTGCAAGGCCAGACAGAACCAACCTGATCATGAGCAATGCACAAGGGAGTTCAATCTTTGAATCTGGGGGACATTATGAATGATGAACGCAATGCACAGGTGGCTATAGCTAATATCTAGCTAATGTTTGGTATTGCAGAACTTGAGTATTGCTGAAAAAGAAAACACATTTTTGGCAAAAGCCATTCACCAATTCACTTCGAAGGGGAATGGTCTGCCCAGTCAGAGACATTCTGCCTGTTTTAAAGCTTAACCAATGCCTGGCAGTTAACTGTCAATCATAGTTCATTGGTGCATTCTCCATGGCAATACCATTCCCCTTGCAAGAAACATCATTATTTTACTTGTCTGCCTGATCACTCGCTTTACCTCGAAATTAGCATTCTGTGATTCGTGAATCAGGACATTCAATCCTGAAGTACCAGATTCTGCAATCTCAGTTTGTATCCAAAGCGCACAAATTTAAATTTTCCTGCATTATTATTCATCTAGTTTTTTTTTTGCTTTTGCTACATGACTAATCCATAACCACTTGCAGCTTCGAAATGCCTCTTTTTGGTAAGTTACTTTTTCACCCACCTAACTTCCAGGTTATCTCTGTCAATAGCTGCTGATCAGACTTGTCTGATGGTCATTGTGAACTGGGGTTGTCTTTGGCAGAATGTGTACAAAAATGAAGGGAGACACGTCATGTGTCAGAAGAACCACTGTTGGAAGGAATCCCCAATCCCCAGTTAATCAGTCTAATGCTTTTTTTTCCTTCTTCGCTTTCCCTTAAACTTTCACCAAGAAAGCAATCCACTTTTAGTGGGTGGTGCCTTGGGAACTTTCTGTGGGTGAAAATTTCTGTTTTGCAAGCTACAATGCACTAGTACCCCAAATGAGTTCTTTGACCTTGTTGTTCCATGTTTTACAACATTGTCTAGTTATAAAGTACTTCCCACTTTCTTCAGGGACTGGTGAACTGGGATCCAGTGGATCAGACGGTGTTAGCAGACGAGCAAGTGGATGAGAATGGCTGCTCTTGGCGTTCTGGGGCTAAAGTTGAGCAGAGGTACCTCAAGCAGTGGTTTATTAAGACGACAAACTATGCAAAGGTGAGCAGCCAGCATGACGTACAAACATCGATATAGAGAACAGGAATTCCAAACCCGGCAGCCCTCCCAAATATTCCATATAGTCGTTCTGTTGAGTAGTATCACCATTCACGTAAATTAGTGTGTTTGTCTTAAGTAATAAAGAATTGCTTCTCGTAATCTGCGTAGAAATTGAAATCAGGTAGGATTTTTCACATTTTTTCTGAAGAAGGGTCTAGGCCCGAAACTTCAGCCTTCCTGCTCCTCTGATGCTGCTTGGCCTGCTGTGTTCATCCAGCTCTACACCTTGTTATCTCAGGATTTTTCACATTGTTTGGATAAGTTCAGTTTTGTATAAATGATCTGAATTTAGGCTGTATATGAGAATTGAAGTCCATACAAACATGGAAAGTGTGCCTGCATTAAATATCTGATTTTTGGTTATTGAGGGTCCTGCATTGCTACTTTCGCTGGTGTCATCCATGACTCAGCCAGTAGGACAATGGCTCTAGGCCAGTATGCTGTGGGTCCTAGTCCCATTTTGTGAACCTGAACACAGTCTAGGCTACCACTCCAATACGGTACTGAAGGAGTGCTGCATTATTGTTGATCTGAGGCCTTGTCTCCTCCTTCAGGTAGGCATAAAAGATCTCCTGGTGCTTGTCAAAGAAGACCAGAGGAAGTTCTGCCTGATGTTCTGCCAAAATTTATCTTCTAATCAAACCTAAAAGGATGACCATTTGGTTGTTAACTCATTGCAGTTTATGGAATTTACTGTGCATGAGTAGGCTATAATGTTTCCTATGTTGCATGAGTGGCACCAGTTCAAAAAGAGTAGCTCAGCTGTAGAGAGAAATAAAGTTAACATTTCAAGTCTGGTATGACATCTTTGTTGAACGGAGTTCTGAGTCCAGTATGTCTCCTCTTCAGAACATTAACTTTCTTTCTTTCTACGGACGCTGCTAGACCTGCTGAGTTTCTCCAGCATTTTCTGTGTCTGTTTCAGCATTGCAAACCTCAATAAATACTTTATGTTGGTCTTCATAATGGAAAATGATCTTGCAAGTATAGACATCAGAGTAGAGGACGGAAATATTAGAAGAAATTAAGAGGGGAGATACTAGCAGGTTTAGCAGCCTTAAAAGTGGTTAGCTAAGACCATGTGACATAGGAGCAGAAGCCTCAAAATCGCATGCCGAGATGAAGTCCCAAACAAAGACCTTGTTTTGGGAGACTTGTATAGGACATGTGGGCAATGTGCCCTGTGCAGTGAAACTGACTTATTGTGACCAGTGCCTCAATATTAGAGCACCTACCCTATCAGTGGGTTTGTGGGATTTTATGGAGGCATCTCTGGTATTTCTCCAGAGATTTGAGGTGTATGCTGTCCATTTTCCATTCCCCTCTGGAGGGCTGGTAATAGTGCTGCTCTCTAGACTATGAGCTTGGCTCTCACTTTGGGGTCCTTGACATTACATTTGCTTCCTCAGATGGCCAAAGGCTGCACTGGCACGCTGAAGGTGATGTCGAGTTGAGAAGTGTACCAGAGGACGCAATCGCCCATGCAAAAAATAAAGCCCATAAATTCAGCGCGACTATTGCCCAATCTCCTGAGGCTAGGGATACTGCACTGTAAGCACTGGTGCAGAAATACTGGATTGAAGGCACAAAATTCTGTTTTTCTTATCATACACCAAATGTAAATCTGATATTCTGAATATTAAATGTCGGATTTGTAAGTAATAATTAAAATATATGTGAACCATTAGAATTACAAATAAAGAGTTTCTTTTGTGTTTAAGATGCTGTGTTGGTTTTTGACAAGCACAGTTTAAACTTTTGGAGGGTGACAAGCAATTTAGCTGCACAGGTTGACAGCTGCTTGGTATGTAGCATTGTATGATAATTACTGCACCCATGCTCCCAGTGCTCAATCTGATTGATTTGATGAATTGGTCTAATTTAATTTGTAATTGGCCTCTTAAATGAGTGTGACTGGACTGCCTGCTTCAAGGGACACCATATTGTTAAACTAAAATGTTGCAATTAATTGTGGGTGTGCTGAAGATGGGGGAGTGGAGATTCTCCATGCAATAACCCCACGTCATCCTGTATTACTTGAATAATGTCACCTCGACTTTGGCAGCAGAAATATTGTACCTGCTGCATAGATTTCAATTTGTGCTACTGGGAAAGAAAACAATAATTACAGTCACTGCATAAAGTTGTGGTTAGTAATGCAACTTTGATGTACTCTCTCTCGAATATTCTTTAACATTCAAACCCACCTGCTAGAGTTGTAAACACTTGAATTACAATGTACTGATTGAACATGGCAAAGAGTCTCCTGTGCTCCAGAAGAATTGAAAACCTCCAGGTTTCATTTCCAATCAATCTGATGTCTCTGTAAACATTTCTGGTTTTGTTTAGCAAAAGTCAGAAAGTCAATTTTAAGCAGTGAGATCTAAGCAGCATTTCCAAAAAGGATACGACTTAGTCTAAATGACTAGAGAAGTTATCTGGTGAGATAATTGCTGGAGTGTTTTCGAAGTGGATTTTTTTTCCTTTACAGAAGGAGCCCATAACAGCATAAGACATGGGAGCAGAATTAGGCCATTTGAGTCTGCTCCACCATTTGATCATGGCTAATATATTTCTCAAAGAAACCCAGTTTTCCTGCCTTTTCCCCATAACCCTTGATCCCCTTACTAATCTAGAACCTGTTTATTTCTGTGTTAAGTACACTCACTGACTTGGTCTCATAGCCTTCTGTGGCAATGAGGCTAGTTAACCTGACCTCAGTTGGATTTTAGTGTCCATTACTAAGGATGAGATTGTGGAGTACTTGGAAGTGCATGGTAAAATAGGACTGAGTTAGCCAATTTCATCAAGGGCAGTCATGCCTGACAAATCTATTAAAACATTAAGTAGCCAATAACATCCTGTCACAAAACAGAATTTGCTAGAAAAGTTCAGGTCTGGCCTCCTTCTGTGTTTAAACCGTTCTGTCATTCTGAAAAGTCCAGTAAAATGCCAGCACTGGTATAAGGTTGCTCCTGAATTGCTTTGGATTTCTGTAGCACAATAATTTATGCCATTGATGCACGTTACTATGGCCTAAACTCAGCAAATTCAGGCTCCCCTGTTCTCTGTCATACATTTGAAGTTATCTGCATGCTTGTTTTAATAATCGAGTACCTGGGTTGGTGTCTGAAAGAAATTGAATAGGGAATTAGATATTTTCTAATTAACCTCTTCAGATGTGTTATTACACCCCTCTGGAACTTGAACCCAGGCTTCCTGGTCCAGAGATAGGGACACATCTCAAAAACCTAATAATTAAAGGAACTAAAGAGATATTGAATTGATTTGGTTCAGGCCATTGCTGGCTTCTCCCGGTCTGCCTTGACAACAGATTGAATGATTTGATTTTCTTGTACGTGTGTGTGGGCTGCTAGTTTCTATTTTATCACTGTCTCAGTTTATTTATTAATAATTGGTGAAGCAGAGCAGCATGGTTACTTAATTAGTCATTCAAATCTGAAATGGTTTCAGGTACTGTGAGCATCCTGCCTGACAGTGTGCACATGGAAGAACTGATTGGATTGAGGTGTTTTAATTGTGTTAGTATGAATGATTTAAATGGGACGGTACGGTGGCTCAGTGGTTAGCACTGTTGTCTCACAGCGCAAATGATCCAAGTTCGATTCCAGCCTCTAGCGACTGTCTGTGTGGAGTTTGCACGTTCTCCTCGTGTCTGCGTGGGTTTTCTCTAGGTGCTCTGGTTTCTTCCCACAGTCCAAACATGTGCAGGTTGGGTGGATTGCCCATGGGCAATGCAGGGTTATGGCGGTGGTGGGATGTTCTTCGGAGGGTCGGTATAGACTCGATGGGCCAAATGGCCTGCTTCCAGACTGTTGGAATTCTATGATTCTCTGATTTAACTCCTAATTCTCTTCTGTTTGCAGTCCTTGCTGGATGCCCTGGAAGACCTTCCTGATTGGTATGGTGTCAAAGAAATGCAAGCAAACTGGATTGGGTCTTGTACTGGATGCTACTTTGACTTTGATTTGAAGGTAACAATTTTGTAGGAGGTACAAACCTCCTCTTTTCTAACTGAGGGACGGTAAGTAAGTTTGCAGATGACACCAAAATTGGTGGTGTAGTGAACAGTGGGAAAAGTTACCTCCAAGTACAACGGGACCTTAATCAGATGGGCCAATGGGCCAAGGAGTGGCAGATGGAGTTTAATTTAGATATACATGAGATGCTGCATTTTGGAAAGACAAATTGGGGCAGGATTTGTACACTTAATGGTAAGGTCCTGGGGATTGTTGCTGAGCAAAGAGACCTTGAATAGCAGCTTCATAGTTCCTTGAACGGGCAGTCACAGGTAGATAGGAGAGTGAAGGTGGTGTTTGGTGTGCTTGCCCTTATTGGTCAGTGCATTGAGTATAGGAATTGGGAGGTCATGCTGAGGCTGTACAGGCCATTGGTTTGGTGGTTGGAGTGCTGTGTGCAATTCTGGCCTCCCTTCTATGGGAAGGATGTTGTGAAATGTGAACGGGTTCAGAAAAGATTTACAATAATGTTGCGAGGGTTGGAGGGTTTGAGCTATAGGGAGAGGTTGAAAAGGCTGGGGCTATTTTCCCTGGAGTTTCTGAGGGGTGACCTTACAGAGGTTTATAAAATCATGATGGGCATGGATAGGGTAAATAGACAAGGTCTTTTGCCCAGGGTGAGGGATTTCCAAACTAGAGGGCATAGGTTTAAGGTGAGAGGGGAAAGATTTAATAGGGACCTGAGGAGCAACTTTTTCATGCAGAGGGTGATGCATGTATGGAATGAGCTGGCAGAGGAAGTGGTGGAGGCTGGTACAATTACAACATTTAAAAGGCATCTGATGGGTACATGAATAGGAAGGGTTTAGAGGGATATGGGCCAAATGCTGGCAAATGGGGCTAGATTTATATAGGATATCTGATCGGTATGGACGAGTTGGACCGAAGGGTCTGTTTCCATGCTGTATATCTCTATATTTCTATTTACCAGCCTGAAACCTTCTGCCCATTCACCCAAATGGATAGAAATGCACAGACTGTTAAGTGTAAACATTAAAAATCTCAAACTTCGAATTTAATCTTGTTTGATGACCAATCATGAGCATAGGACTTAGAATGCCTCCTCACCCCGTGCCAAAAAAAAAAAGCATGCTCCACCATTCAGTAAGATCACAATTGTGGCCTCTACTCTCTCATTGTGTCTGCATCCTCTCCAATAGGCCTTCTGGATCCAAAACTAATTCAGTCTTGAATAAATTTGACTAGCCTCCACTGCTGTCTGGGGAAGAGTGTCCACAGGTTAACAATCATCATTGTGAGAAATTAATTCTTCTCATCCCTGTGTTGACCAATGCTGTTGATGTTTGTGAAGCTATAAGGCCCAGGGGTTTTAGTGGGTTAGGGGTGATTTTAGGCTGGAGGGAGCCAAGAAAGTGGATGTACAAAGCCTGGTCAGTGATCAAGAGGCAAAGTGCTGATGGTGTGGTTTTTTTCCCCACAGTCAACTATGCTTTGATTGTTTTCCAAATGACAGCACAGTGGCTGCAGAAGATGACACTTTGTGGATTTGGCCACGAGTATGTGAATTTGTCTGGAGATGAGATTTGAGAGGACCAATGAATGGGGGACCAAGAGGACAAGGTGTTGTTGGGAGCTGTGATGTAGTTTGAAATGGCCGAGACCGAGGAACTACTCGGTGCGGAGCCTGAGGCAGGATATTTAGAGGGTGAATATGCGTGGGGTGGGGCCCAGACGATGATGGACAACAGCAGTTTTTACAGGGGGTGAAGGGACCGGAGAATGCTGAGATCCTTGAAGGCCTGTGTCAGAAGTGCAGGAGTATGGTGAAGACCAGGTGATTAGCTAACACTGACATTGCCACTGTGGCAAGTTGGAGGATCAGTCAGTGCAGAGTGTAACCAGATATAGCGCTTTCAGTAAAGGCCAGTGTATCGCCACCTGTGAGCTTAAGGACTTTTTTATAAAGTGCAGGCAACTTCAGAGCTGTTCTGTCCCTGCTTTTGGTTGAATTCTCCATTTTAAAAAGATTTCAATCTCAACATACATGTAACAGAATTGTAATCTGTTGTTTAAACACTGGTTGCCTGGAGTAGATGGGGGTGCGTTGCTGCAGTCCATTCAATATAGGTACACCCACAATGTCATTAGGAGTTCCAGGATTGTGACCCAGCTTGAACCCTCTCAGATAATGATGTAGTGTGAATGAGCAATTGTTTCAGTCTGTGCTTTGGTACTCTCTGAAGTACCTCTGCTTTCTGCCTGTTAACTGAAAGGCTCTATTAAAACTAATCTGTCATCTATGCAGTGAACTTACTGCACAACCATCCTCCACTGCATATAGGAATGTTTTCTTGTGTCATTTATTTAAGATGAGGCCTGCAACTGAGACATTCCTGAAGTGGTGTGCACATTCTTTCCTAGGTAAATGGAAAGCACATTGGTGAAAAGCTCCCCGCATATGCCTCTAGCCCAGAAGCAGTCTATGGTGCATCCCATCTCTCTATCCTACCTAGCCACAGACTTCTGCAAACTGATAGTTACCTGAGAGACACTCTTCAACAGTATTTTGTACCTAACAAAGGTAAGGATTTGGGGAAACTCTCCAACAGAAAGCAATTTTATCTGCACTATATATATGATATGGAAACATGTGTGCACACATTGTCGATCAATTGTGGGCCCTAGAATTAGCTGCAAGAGCCCTAAGTTAAGGATATGTGAGGAAGCTCATAATACTGAACAGAATGTGGTGAAAATCTGATGAAAATGGGACTGGGTTTAGATGCTTGATGCTATTAGAGCTAAAGGCCACTATGACGAGGAGTTTGAACTGGTGTCCCTAGAGCTGTGACCTAGAATGCCATTGTTTGTATTATGGGTAGCTGAGCGCAAAAGGTCAGTGAATAAGCTGCATCTCGAGATCTGAAGGTCATAAAAACACCCCTGAAATATGCGAGTAATGTGTGAATATATTGTTTTGTTGTCTTTGGCTTCTGTTGAATTCAGGAACTCTGATGACATAAGCTATTGCTGAAGGAGGTTTCCGCTGCTTTATCTGCTGTCTGTATCCTCTCTGTATTATCCCGGGAAATGTTAAGTGTTATTCCATTTCCCCTCCCTTTTCAGCTGGTAATGAGGCCATAAGCTGGGGAAGATTACGTTTTGCACCTGTTTTATTTGGCACACTTAGTCCAAGGCTATGGACCAGTTTCTGTATTAAATGCCTTGAGTAGTCGTGTCTTCTAAATAACCCTGGATTCAGCAGGACCTTTTCAGGTTTGCAACATTGGCTCAGTATGTCGAAAGAATTTCTCTGGACCCAAAGATGTGAACATAACCAGTCGGACTGGAGATTCCATATTGGGTCCAATCCTCGCTCTCTTTTTGCAATTGTACAAAACCAGAAATGTAAAGCTTTAGCATTTTCACTTAGACCGGGGAGCTCGAAATGTTTACTGTTCTTTCTCACTTTCTCCTTTATCCATGTGTTGAACGGGTACTATGGCAAACAGGAAAATAACATTTGCATTGTTCTGTTATGTTAACTGCTTATCTTTTTCCCCCATGCATCACATTTTTCAGCTCTTTCTCCTCCAAAAGGTGTTTTCTCCCTTGTTGTGTTCGTATCCTTTTAGCACATCGCTCATCATTCATCTGTGCCTCTGTCCGTAAGAGATTAGATTTGACTGGCTAATTAGACTGTCGGACCACCCTAGCTGAGTCTGATCCTGTCAACGTCTGTGTATTTTCCAGCGGAACTGGATAGTGATTGGAAGCAGGGACCCTGCAGGAATCGCCTAAAGGCCTTGCGCCAGCTGCAGCACCACTACCACCACCTGGCAATGTTGGAAAAGCCCCGTGTGGGTTTGTGATGAACCCAGATGGCGCGTCTTTCAATTAAACCCACTTCTCTGGTACTTTTAAGGTTATCTTTTGTTTGTTTCTTTTTTTTCATTCTCTCTGGATGCCAGCATGTGTGGCTGAAGGGACAGGACAGACAAACCACCACGGGAGGCAGAAAACCATATGGTAATGCTTTCTCTCCCAGTTATTCTCCATGTCTCCGATAGCCAAGATCATAAAATGGCCAGAATGGAAAGGAAGGGTTTTACTTCTATGGAGTTGGATGCATTTTCTCCCTTTGCAGTGGCAACACAATTTGTTCTTCTCAATTGCAGACCGGTGTTTGTGTGGTTATCATAGAATCCTTACAATGTGGAAGCAAGCCAGTTGGCCCATCGAGTCCACACCGACTCTCCAAAGAGCATCTCGCCCAGATTCGCCCCTGTAACCCTGCATCTCTCATGGCTAATCCACCTAGTCTGCACATCCCTGGGCACTATGGGCAATTTAGCATGGCCAATCCACCTAACCTGCACATCTTTGGACAGCGTGAGGAAACTGGAGCACCTGGAGACACGGAGAATGTGCAAACTCCTCACAGACAGTCGCTCGAGGGTGGAATTGAACTCGAGTCCATGGCGCTGTGAGGCAGTAGTGCCAACCATTGAGCCACTGTGCCGCCTAAGGCGTTATAAGGACTAGGTGCAACATACAGATTGGAATGTACTGTAATCAGCTGTTCTCCGATGGCAACTCTTTGTATTTTCATTACGATGAAAAGCAGACGAAGAGGATTAAGACTGAAGAAGACTAAAAAAGGAGCATGCAAGAAATCTAGTATCCCACCTATCTATCTCTACAAACAGCACATTCCCAATACATGGCGTGCAAATCAAGCATTTGACTGATCATTCAGCTCGAGACCCACAACTCCGGAGTGTAAGAGAGCCCGCCTCTTGATGGACTGCTTAATAAGATGGTAATTTATTACTAAAACTAGACTCAGTTGCTCCCTGAGTTTTTTTTTCACCACTATTTTTTATCTGAGAGAGTTGGACAGAAGATGATACATGGAGGTGACACACCATCTGAAGTTGGCTGGCATTTCAGTTATAATGAATATTTTGTAGTAACAATATGGGGAAAATACAAATCCAGTGGTTTACTTGTACCACCATTCTGTTGTTCTGTTTGAGATCTCATCCACAAGTGAAGGATAAGTGACTTTGAATTGAGCCCATATTTTGCACGGACGTAGTGGAGAAGTGCTGCTCGTGCAAGAACTTTTGTACAAAAATAAAGTTGCTGGAAAAGCTCAGCAGGTCTGGCAGCATCTGTGAAGCAAAAACAGAGTTAATGTTTCGGGTCCGGTGACCCTTCCTCAGAAG